TTTACCACAGTTAAAATCCATGTTTATTCACAGTTGGCCAACTCTATTTTCTTCACACATGTAGGAAGAGCTTTGGACAAATCTTTGATGAATCTTGGCCTGTCCTTGACAGTCTACTGGTTCAGCGCACCCTTCATGCAATCAATACAGAGAACACACTGAACTGCAAAACAATGGCTGCAGGCTGAAGATGGACGTACGCTGACACTGTTTGCTTTAAACACCGTCTTACACACTACATACCACATGATACTAGCGTGAATGACTGTATTTCACTAAATGAGTCTGCACATGATCCAGAGCAGAAGAAAACCCACCTCCTTTCTCTGCAAGCCTGATGTCATTGGTGTTCCCCTCATAGGTGAAGAGAGCCCTGCAGAGACATCAAATGTGTGAAGGCAGTTCATTACATAAGTGTTAAACAGCCACGTCACTGAGATCGAGTGCAACATGGCTCAGTCGTTCCAATTAAAGTCTACAGGAAACACTGTTCAAAAGCAATGTTACTTCCACAATCTGATGCATTTTTAAGTAAATCAGGATTTTCAATGAGAAATATCATAGGGTGAGACTTTTTATCCATCAGGAACTGATTGGATCTGTGACGTTAGCCAGAAAGGAAAGTAATTTTCTGAGGTGGAGCAGGTTATTACATTATGACACATACAGTGCATTTGAATTCATAGATTTGACAGATGCTTTTATCCAAAGTGACTTCCATTGCATTGAAAATATACTTTATAATACTGGAAATCAAACCCATGAGCTTTGTGTCCTAAATCAGACTTCTATCTTATCTGTTTGGTAACTATTGTGATTTTAGTTTGTATCTCGGTTCCAATATCGCACTTCTCAATTCTTAAAGGGATGGTTCACAAAAAAATGTATATTCTGCCATTATTATTTGCCCTCATGTCTTTCCACACCTGTATGAGTTTCTTTCTTCTGCAGAACATAAACGATATTTTGAAAAATGTTGGTAATCGCAAATATTAGAGCCCATTGACTTCTACTGAATGGATGGACAAAAATAAAATAAATAAAACATTGAGAGATTTCTCAAAATATATTTTTTATGTTCCACAGAAGAAAGAAACTCATACAAGGTTTGGAACAACATGAAGGTGAGTATGTTAACTTTTTTTTTTTTGTGGATGAACTATCCATTTAACTTAAGACCTAAAAATAAGAAATTCTGTAATTTTGTAAAATTTTGTAAAGTTGACCCCATTTACCAGGAAAGTAAGTGTAATGCAAGTAAAAATTAAACCATAAATACATTTGCTACTTGAAAAAAGATAAAATACAAAATACAAAAAAAACTTACATAAAACTCATTTTATTTCAGCCAGTTGCCAAAGCAACATTTCTCATTTTTGTTTATTTTATATTGCTCTCAAATAACAAACTAAAAATTCATTAAAAAAAACTATATTAAAAAAATCCCTTAAAATTAATACAAAATATACAGACATATTAAAAACAAAAATTAAAATAATTAAATATAAAATTAAAACTAATTCAAAATATGAATATAATAGTATTTCAATGATAAATACTCAGTTGTTGACTGATGTCAGCAGAATGCAAACTGAAAAGCATCAGGGCAAATACGCCTCTGAAATGTCTGTAATATGAAGCAGATATTGAGGTGGCCCTGTGTGTGTGGCTGTGTGTGTGTGTGTGTGTGTGTGTGTATGTATGTGTGTGTGTGTGTGAACTCGGTTCTGATTCTCTCTACACAAAGACACTTGTACAGCAAGGAAGCTGTGTCAACTTCCTCTCTGAAACACAGAGCCCAAGTCAACAGAAGACTCTTGCCTGTCAGAAACAGGAAGTGCTGTAATGAGGAATAAGAACGGCAGCAGTTTTATTTCTAGAAGATCTCTCAGGTCTGATCATCCGGTGACATTCACGCTCTGTTGTGGTTTGATGTGGAAATGAAAGTCACAATTGTTAAGACAAAGCTGCTTCTTTAATAGGCAATGTTACTGTAGGTTGAGCCTGCCCTGTTCCTTCCGGAGATCTATGATGACTCATCAAAATCACTGATTTTGTGACATTTTGTCTGATGTGACAACAATAAACTCCTCCATCGGTGTACAAACCACTCTCAAGTAGTGCTTGACCGGGCTTTTTAAAGGCCAATACTAATTTCATACAGACCAGGGAGAACCAACGATGAGGTTCAATAATCCAGCTGTGAGTCCAATTATTGATCTGTTCTTTCTTTTTTTTTTTTTTATAAAAAGCCTTGTTTATTTATAGAATTGCATGGGTCCAAAATATAGAGTTTAAAATCCCAACTGTAGATATCTAAATAAAACTGAATGACAGAAAATTGTTACAAACAATGCTTACTCAATTTTCTTAAATAATAATAAAAAAATAAAAAAAAAATGCATGTGCACGTTGGCACAATATGTGTCAATCTAAAAATGGCCATATTTGAGTCAATTAATTGGCCTGGTCCATATTTAAGGGGCCAAAAAATTGTACAAAATACCAAATTACAGCATAAATCTAAAGTGACAAAAAAAAAGACAATTAAATGAGAATATACAACAATATCTACTGTTAGTTATCAGTGAGATTTTGAAATGTTTTTGAATGAAGTCTCTTATTCTCACCAAGGCTGCATTTATTTGATTTGTTTAGAAATGCAGTAAAAATTGTAATATTGCAATATTTTTATATTGTGAAATATTATTATAACTTAAAATAACTATTTTCGATTGTAATATATTATTGTAAAATATAATTTATTCCTGTGATCAAATCTGAATTTTCAGCATCATTACTCCAGTCTTCAGAGTCACATGATCCTTCAGAAATCATTCTGATATGCTGCTCAAGAAACATTTCTTACGGTTATCATTAAAACTTATTCTTGTTAACTTATTTTGTTGAAATTGTTATGTTGAAAACTGCTTAATAATTTTGTGGGAAACCATGATACTTTTTTTCAGGATTCTTTTTTTATTTAAAGCAGAATAAAATAAAAGTAAAATAATAATAATAAAATAGAAGTATTAAAAGTATCTAGAGTACAAGAAATAAAAGTAATTCCTTAAAAAAATAAAAATAAATCCTGACCACAAACTTTGAACAGTAATGTATATGTTATTTGTACCCATTTGCGAAACTCGAGTGTCTGCATTTGTGTGATTTTTCTCAAATCTCTGGGTAGGATGAGTGTAATTAATGTAGGCAATTTATAATCACTCTTCATTTCTGAAGCGTTCATGACTCAACTCAAACAGCCGTCTCTCAAGAGCGTCCGACCAATCTCGTCCTCATTTCCACTTCTTCAAACTGAAACTCACTTACACTTCAAGCTGCAGAGCTATAGGACTTTGGTCTGGTGTCAACCTGTCAAACATTAATATCATTTCCGTATGAGCGAGAGGAAGTCTCTTACTGATGTCTATTCATTGGTTTTGACATTCATACATTTGCGGTAACGTTCTGGCTACAAAGAGCAATTATTTTTGATTATAAGACAATGAGATTGCATGGAAATGCACTCACAAATAGTAGGCAGGGAGTTGTCAACCCAGCAGCCATATATGGACAAAAACTACAGGAAAATAAGGAGGTAGGAGTGGTTCAACATGAGTGCACTTCTCAAACCCCATGTTCTCCAGAAGTTGGGATGCTTCTGAACTGATCAGATCAACTCATCTCATCCGTGCAAGCATGCAAAGCAACACTGCAATGAAGTCAAAGCATGTGCATAATTGAATATAAACTTTCATCGTTGGCCAGAGAGCAACAGTGCATTACTGGGGGGAAACCATTTCTGGAAGATTCAGTGTTTTTGTGCATGAGCTGTGAATGGATGAGGGCACACGGATAAAGTGCAGTGATCTCGCTAACATCACAAACCGTCACTGCATTGATCCAAAAGGGCATTAATGATGATCTATGTTGTGATAAACACAAGTAGGGCGTTTAAAATGCCAAAGGAGCTGCTAACATGCTAAACATGAGGATGTCAGTGAGTGTAACAGAGAGACAACCCTTGAGTCGCTACTCACCAGTTAGTCTCCGACTTCTCATCCACCACCTCGTTATAGGCCGCGGTAAGAGCTGGGCCGTTTTTGCTCAGGTTCACAGCCATGATGGGCAAATCTGTGGGTTTTTGACCGTCCGACGCCGGGGACAGACGCTGCAGTGGACTCCGGGGGTAGATGGGGATCTCTCGGCGGCTCTACGCAGACAGGAAGCGCGCAGCGCCACATCACGTAGCACTCACTCCTCCCTGGAGCGACATTACGAAGCCTACTATGGTGAAGGCGTGGCTCATGAATATTAATTATGCAAAGCGAGGTTCGCCCAGTAAGCCTCCCTGATTTGCTGCAGGGCTGACGCAAGTATGTGGGCGGATGTCAGCTGGCGAATGATGACTCGGCTCATGAATAATAAATGAGGACATGAGACTTCTGAAGGTTACCAAGCAACTCTCTGGCATAGTAGTTTTATAAACCACGCGGCAGCGCCATCAACTGGACAGGCATGGAAGCAGCACATGGGCGTGGTTACTACCACCACCTTTCTAAATCATATATATGTTTTTTTTTTTTTTGTCCAAATCTACAGATTCAATTAAATGAGACTGAATGTCTATAGTAGCACCCTAAACCGTAAAATAACAATTTAAACAACGTTACAGCTCAAATAATATAGGTTTTAACCAAATAAATCGTTTTATAAATTGAACAACCTTTATTTCTTAAGACAAGGGATGGTCAAAATTAGAAATATACACATTTACAAGCAGCACAACCATTTGTTAACATTATCAGTGTTGAAATTTCTTTCTTAATTTTTTACATTGAACAAAATAAATAAAAAAAAATTTTTTTATCTTGAGGTAAAATATGGGACCCCAAATATGATAATTTTTTTCTTTTTGTGAGATTCATCCAATACACTATAAAATTTCATTATTATCTGAATTCTGTCAGACAGTGCAGTTAACCATAACATTTTGAAAGTCTGTGGTGTTGCAATAAATCCAAGAGAAGGTATTAAACAAAAGGAGCTTTATTCACTAAAGTTGACACCTTGGAGGTTAGTCTCAGCTGTACTGAGTCTGAGGAGAGAGCTGGTTAGATGACAGGGTTTTCTAGCACAAACAGTTAGCAAGGAGAGGTCATTATGGCTCTGTGTACGTGTGTATGTGATACACAAAGTAGTACAGTACCAATCAACAGTTAAAACAAAGTAAACGGTACAGTACAGTTGCTTGTACATTGATGGTTAAGGCTAAGGTTTTATTGAGGGTCTTGAGGGAGGTGAGAGAATGGAAAAAAGATCCCTGATATCTTGCAAATAGCTGCGGGAAAAGGTTTGTAGACTACCAGAGTGCAAAGCATGCTATTACTGCCTTAGCACAATCTCAAAAAGGGTTGCAACTCGACCGGCTGCTTCAGACGAAGCATCAGAGAGAAGCAACTCGTAATTCCAGGCTGACTGCATTTGAGCTGATGACTGGAAGACGACAAATAAATAGAAAATAAATAAATAACTTAAACGTAACATTCTACTTCCAGACGCAAAACCAGTGAGCCACGTTTAGTAGTGAAAATTTTACTGATGCAAAAACGATACCATTGATCTTTGAATCAAAGTTAGGAGAAGTTGGCATAAAATTTTACATTCACTTCGATTAAAAAGAAAAAAAAAAGGAAGGAAAAAAAAAAAAATCTATCATCATTTACACACTATCATGTTTTCCAAATCCAACTGATTACCTCTTTCTGTAAAACACAAAAAGAGAAATTTTGAAGTTTGTTCATGCTGCTCTTTTCCATACAATTAAAGTGAATGGTGACCATAGCGGTCAAGCAACAATTGCAAAGATTACCAATACATATCTACTAAGATTTTAGTTTGGAACAAATGGCAAACTTTTGATTTGGAGCTTGAAAGTTCATGGTCCCCATCTGCTTTATTGTATGAAAACAGCAGCGTGAACATACTTCAAAATATCTCTTTTTGTGTTTCACAGAGGAAAGTCATCAATTCAGTTTGGAAAAGTGAGTAAATGAATGCAGAATTCACATTTTGTTGTAAACTATCCCTTAGCTATACTGCCGTTTCAAAAAGTTTGGATCATCCAAAGCTATACTGGACACAAATGTCAATTCTCTTGGTGACAGAACACGTATAATGGTGCTTAATATAATTCTGGCAATATTTAGCCCTATTTAGACGAGTGAAGAAACATTTTTTTTTTCATTCTGCTCTGTGTAAACATCTTGATCATCCACCTCTAAATAGGCAGCCATGAGTTAATGAGTGCGTTTACAAAAATTAATTTACAGTAAAAGTACTTGAGTCCAGCACCTGCGCTGGTCATACATCAAACGTACCATCAACTGTCAAAAGTTAGTAATATTAGTGACTACAGGAACAAGAGTATCTAAAGATTATTAAGATTACACTTTTGCAGACAGATCTGTAGAAGAGATAAATGCTAAGTAGCCAAAAAAATATTGCATTCATACGCTATGACGTGCCCATTGCCTGCAAATCTGAAAGGGGCATAATCACATTTGGCAGAAATTGTGGCATTTCTTTCTTTTTTTTCCCCACACAGTCCCACCGTTCAGCTTTTTTGCTCCCTCTTTTTTTCTGCAAACAAATTGGGTGAATTTTTAAGACAAGTATAAAAATCTGCCTTGATTCCTAAAGCAACTTCACAATACTTATCAAAACAAATACTTGCACATCTGCCACATCATGCACATGCAGCTGAGGTGAATTAAATTTAGTGGCCGTTCGTGCAAGACACGTTTTTGCATTAAAAGCAGGTTGACGGAGCTTGTCCATATGTACAGTAAATACGGTTAACGTGCCCCCAGATTCATCTGATTGGTCCATTCTTTTCAAATCGACACCATTCCACTGCACATCAAACGATGAACGTTTACATAGAGCAACATTAAAAATACAGCGCAAATGGAAAGCAAGAATATGCCCTGTGTGAACGGCCAGCTTAATTCTGAAATCGACCGACGCTCAAGATTAAATAAACAATATGTCAAAAGGAGATATGATTATAACCAAATAAAAAAATTATTTATGTCTAATAATTAAAAATAACACTGTGTCCTAATGAGACGCAATGCAACACGCCACGAGAAAAAGGTTTGTTTAACATTTTGCTTTTGTCCTAATCAACAGCGATGGCGATAAGCGACGAGTCATTCTATTTTTTAAAAACGTAATTTTAAATTCATTTAAAAAAATTTTTTTTTCAATTTCTGCTACCTCGTGGCTGACAACGATTAGACTTATCTCCGGTATGTACAATATTAAAAGTTCCATTTGCGTTATGAACGTCATTTTTGTATGAATTTAACGCCACAGTGAAAGCTACAATGGATAATTTACCTCAGATCTTGAAAACACCTTGAAATAAACAAGATCAAACTGTGAACTCTGTGAACAAACAAGTGTATTTCACAACAAAATGACAAAATTGTATCAGTCACCGAGTATATAATTTAGTTAAATTTGATGAAATTACATATCCGTTTCACAGCGAGAGAGCAGTAAGCTTTCAGAGAGCTCCGCCCACACTCTTCTGATTGGCTGTGAGTTGTGATTGATTTTGTTGCATCTTGTGCCTTGTCGTGCCTGTTGTGGACAGACAAATTCGCCCCATACCTTTAAAAGGTCACTATTGGAGGAAACTGCCATTTGTAGTGGTGACTGAAACCGAAGTGGACATTATCGAGTGCACTCATTCAATGCATCTCGATATCTAGTGTACAACTAATGTACACTCAACTAAAAACATGTGATGGTCGAGCCAAATAGTAACGTAGGGAACAGTGAATGAGGGTATATGGAATCTCTTTGCATCGCGTCTGGTTAGGACCTGGTGTTAGGTTTCTTTTTTTTTTTATAGCACAAAGATATAGACTCACTTGACTATTTATGACCTCCATTTGTTCAAAAATCAAATCGCATTATCTCATTAGGACACAACCTCTTCCTAATCACATTCATAGTGTTTTATGGGATAACACCGAAACGGCAGGAAGTTGGAGACTACAGTAAGGTCTTTCTGACATCCGATTTTTTACATTCTACCACAAACTGTTAAACATGTCAAGTGTATGAGTGCACACACAACTATGGTTTCCACAGGGACTCCCAACGGGACGGTGCGATGGTTCAGACACGATCAATCCTGTATCGCCACAATTCCAACTTCAGCCCGACGTTTCCTCGTTCAGTGATGACAAGAGTGAGAATGCAACACTGAGAAAATCACAATGACAGTAATAACAGAACTAACAGTAGTACAAGTCTAACTTCCTGGGTTGTGGTTCCCCGAGGTTTGTCCGGTTTTACAGTTTTCCTGGAGTTTTCCAGGCTAAGCCGTTGTGGCGGCGGATCTGGGAGAACGGCACATGACAGCAGATTTAGCACATAGCGGCCAACATGTACCAGCGGCTCTCACCTCCTCACCTCCGCCTTCTGCTTTCCTTCCAAGGGTCCCTTCCCCTCAACATCCACTTCTTTTGACTCCTCTTGTTCAAAGTAAAAACATACTTCTCTGTCCGTTTGATTCTGTAGTGTTTTAGTCGCAGGCACTCTCACATGGCGTACTTTTGCGTCCATTCTCTCGCTAGTCTGTTGTACCTACAAGCATAAAAAGGATAAACTCTTACAATGTAATTCAAGTCACATTTCTGTTTTATTTAAAGGTGGGGAATGTATTTTTTCAAAAACGCTTTAGAAAACTGAGTTGGGCTGAGTACCAAAGCAAACTTGTAGCCAATCAGCAGTAAGGGGCGTGTCTACTCATGATGTGGAGGAGAGAGCGCTCAGTGCACAGGACGGACATTAGCCGAGCCGAGCGACAGAAAGATAGAGATGGCGGATAAAAAACAAAAGAGGAAAACGTCTGCGGAACAAAAGAAGGCTTATGTGTCTTATGTGTCGCAACAGCTAAAGTCTGTCTACACTGGACGCGATAAAGCGACCGTTGAAAATCATTTGAAATTTGTGTCAACGTCATAAATAGAATGCAGCAGCAGTTTTCTGTCGGGGATTTGTCGTGTCGTGCCGCCCCGCGCCCGCCGCGTCCGGTGTAGACACGGTGTAACATTGGTTTTGCTTTGTTTCACAGAACTAATCATTGCCTGGGTTGTGTACGTATATGTGGGGCGGAGCTATCAAAATAGGGGCAAGACCCGTTTGGGGTACAGGCATGTTTGTTTTGGTGATTTGAAATATCAACATTGGCTACCAGAAATCACTTACCCCACCTTTAACAGTGGGCAAGAATGCTTTACATAAAGTGGATATAATGTGACACTGTTTATTGGTTCAATCACAAAGGACTGAACCGTCTAAAACAGTTCGCGGCTTGAGCAACACAGATCTACAAGTTACTCAATCAAAACTCACTTTCGGATGCCTGATAGTCACTCCGACTCGAAATGAGCCAAAATACCAGCATATATGATCCTATGATGCTGGTTTTTGCCAACTCATTCAGCGCTCCACTTCCTCCAACAGTCACTGAACTGAGGAAACAGTTCGACTCGGACTGGTATGCAAATGAATGAAGAGGCGAAATGAACGTTTTTATGGTTTCTCATGGTTTATTTAAAAAGGTGAGTTTATTAAGGCTAGTTTATTCACTTTACGCTTTGTATTCATGTTTCACATCATTATTGGGTGCTTTAATAATATAATTGCTTATACGTTACGCCATTGAGTGGTTATGTAAATAAACCAGAAACAAACTAAAATAACTAGTTTGCGTAAATAAATCGGATTTCCCCATTTGTCTGAGGCTCTGGATCACAGTTAATAACATTGTAAATAATTAACAGTTTCTTGCAACGACCGATCGTTTCACTTCATAAGACCTCAATATATCGTCAGGAGCCGCAGGTATCGATTCTGTATTGCCTAGTAGCTTTTTTGACTCTTGATGTGATGGCAACTGTTGACTTTCATTTTTGTGGAATTTTTTTTCAGGATTCTATGATGAATGGAAAGTTCAAAAGAACAGGCTTTACTTGAAATAGAAATCTTCCGTAACATTATGCATGTCTTTACTGTCATTTGTGATCAATTTAATGCATCCTTGATGAATAAAAGTATTAATTTCATAAAACAAAAAACCTTTATAACCCCAAACTTATAAATGAAAGAAAGAAAAAATCACCTACATCTTGGATGGCCTAAGGGTGAGTAAAATTAAAAGCACATAATCCTTTTAGGCTAAACTATCCCTTTAACTATGCTTTTAGCAAACACACCTGTCTGGAACATTCATCCGCCCCTAAACATGACGCTGAAGAAAGCAAACTGTTATTGGTCACTTCACTGTACAGTCAGACGTCTTCCTTTTACAAAAGTGAGCAGTCCATGGCCAGTCAAAGCGGCTACAGACCTAACGGCATCAGTCAAAAATCTGACTACACGAGACTAACACGTCCCAAACAAGCCAAAACAAGGAAGAGCTTTTTATTAATGGGTGTAATATGGAGAGAAGTTCGGGTCGCAATGTCGCAACTAACCTGGCAGATTAATACAGAATTTAACAGTCTCACGTGTGCATGTATTGGCAATTTTACAACAGCTCTGAATGTGGCTCATCCAATCAGAGTGGACAATCTGCAGTATAACAGTTGTACTTTTCCGAGTCTTTTGTTCTGTTACATAAAGCTGTTTTTGTACACTCGCCCATCAAATAAAAGCAGAAACACATCACAAGCAATGAAGTACTTTTCATTTGTATTCGATTCATTGGATTTTCCAAAAATAGGCATTTGATCAAAACAAGAAAAATGTAAAAAATTTTAAAAAGCCATTCAAATATGCACGTAATTGTCACTCACTTTTCTCTGTCTGCTTTATATGTATGTGCGATCTCAGGTACCAGCGGGTCATCTGGGTTCGGGTCACATAACAGGGAGCAGATGGACAGCAAGACTAAAAAAGAAAGGAAACACATTAAAAAGATATAATACCAAAACCTCCTGATCGTCTATACTGCTGGAATGAGAAGCTGCCTTGTGTTAGTTTGTCATATAACACAAACAGCTTCCCGTGGAGTGATCCAAACTAGGTCATTGCTTAGAACAAAGAGTAATCACTGCAGTCTGACAACACAATCAGCCACACTGGGCTCAGCGCTCTGCTATTAGCCAGAGACGCCAAAACAAACAGTCAAACAGTGTCTGTCCAACAAGTGCTCAAGCCACATGAGAACATCATAATACCTAAATTATAACAATCATCTGTCGGTTTTCCTGAACAGGAGAACATGTACTGTAGGTTCTACTGGCCGATGCAATGGTGACTTTTAACCTGTACAGCAACGGCATGTTATGATTTGGTAATATAATTAAGTAATGTTTAAAGTCAAAATATGTAATATTTAAATCAGGCTACATGAACATACATTGAGTCCTGCACAACTGCATTTCGCAGCTCTCCAATTAACAATTGATGTATTAATAAATAATTACGGAAATTCCTGAAAATAAGCATTCCTACAATCAATACAACTTCATACCTGCAATGTGAATACATCATAAGTACCATTCAAGATTTTATGTTTTAACTTATGCAAGACAGCAATATTGTGAAATATTATTACAATTCAAAATTCAAATTTTAAAATATAGTTTATTTCTGTGATGAAAAGCTGAATTTTCAGCAACATTACTCCAGTGTTCAGTGTCACTTCAGAAATCATTCTAATATGATGATTTGATGCTCAAGAAACATTTCTGATTATTATCAATGTAGAAAACGGTTGCGCTGCTTAATATTTTTGTGGAAACCATAATACATTTTCTTTCAGGATTTTTTGATTAAAGGGGTCATATGATGCGATTTCAAGTTTTCCTAATGTACAGTATTTGAAAAATAATGTGTTTTTTGAACATTAAAGCATGTCAACATTCTGTCACACCAAATACACAAAATAATGATCTTTAAAAAAGCATCATATGACCCCTTTAATAGAAAATTAAAAAGAACAGCATTTAATTGAAATAGAAATATTTTGTAACATTTTAATGTCTTTACTGTCATTTGTGATCAATTTAATGCATCCTTGATGAATAAAGGCATTCATTTCTTAAAAAATAAATAAATAAATAAAAACACTTACTAACCCCAAACATTTGAATGGTAGTGTAATGTACATATACAGCAATAAGGTACTGCAGATTTTTTACATTTAATTTCAAAGTGCTTGCATCATGCATTGAGATGCTGCCTGAATCTTACCTTTGGATACAGTAAGTGCAGGTGACCATTGAGATCGCAGGATGTCCAGACATATACTGCCGTTACTGTTAATATTGGGGTGGTAGATTTTTGTTGTGAATGCAACCTGTCAATCAATGCAAAGTGTACTGATTACAGAATCACAAACCATTACCTCCATTTGCATTTGACTAAAGTCTCCTAACACAATGAATATCACAAAGCAGCTTACCTTTGGTGGTTTAAAGGGGTAGTCTGTTGGGAAATGAATTGTAAGGAAGAAAACCCCTCCTTGATATGGACTGTCATTCTAAAAACCAAGAACACAGCTTTGCTAATATATGCATGTACTGCAATTGTCACAAAACAGGCAATATTTTATTTATATGTATGACAAGGACAAATTAATTAAAAAATGTAACATTCTGTTAGTTTAAATGACTTTTTTACATTTTTTTTTTTTATGTACAATGTATACAAACATTCAGAGTGCAAATCTTATGAACTGCGCTTGGACGTGAGGATCAGCCAATCAGAACAAAGGCTATTTACATATAGCAGTGTTAAAGGTACAGTAACCTGATTATTTCACTAAACTTTAACTGGTTCTGGTACAAGCAAACTTTCATTAACATTGTAAGTGGACTTCTAGAAGAAAATAAAATGCTAAAAAGGTGCTAAATGTCCCTTTTAAATAATTTAAAAACTTTTCTTAAAGGGATAGTTCACCCCAAAAGGAAACTTACCCCATGATTTACTCACCCTCAAGCCATCCTAGGTGTACATGACTTTCTTCTTTCAGATGAATGCAATCGAGTTACATTTAAAAAATGTCCTGGCTCTTCCGAGCTTTATAATGGCAGTGAATGGATGTCGAGATTTTGAAGTCCAATTAAGTGTGTCCATCCATCACAAAAAGTGCTCCACACGGCTCCGGGGGATTAATAAAGGCCTTCTGAAGTGAATCAATGTGTTTGTGTAAGAACAATATCCATATTTAAAACTTTATAAACTGTAATCTCTAGCTTCCGCTAACTGTTGTACACACGTTCACGAGAGAGTGGCGGTTCAGCGGATGACGTAAGACGTAGCGTAGGGTTCGGTGAGAAGTGACGAACGCAGAAGCGCAGAGGAGAAAGCAAAGCAAAACACCGCTCAAGAATTAGAAGTACAAAACAAGGATTTGTAAAGAAAAATGTTGAAGGATTTCGATATAATCCAAGACTAGACTGTTTTTCCTTCGCTGTAAACAAAACTACGCCTACGTCCTACATCATCCACTGGAACGCCACTCTCTTGTGAATGCGCGTACAACAGTTGCGGAAGCTGGAGATTATGGTTTATAAAGTTTTAAACATGGATTTTTTTCTTACACAAACACACTGATTCACTTTAGGAGGCCTTTATTAACCCCGTGGAGCCATGTGGAGCACTTTTTATGATGGATGGACGCACTTTATTAGGCTTCAAAATCTCGACACCCATTCACTGCCATTATAAAGCTTGGAAGAGCCAAGGCATTTTTTTAATATAACTCGATTGTATTCGTCTGAAAGAAGAAAGTCATAAACACCTAGGATGGCTTGAGGGTGAGTAAATCATGGGGTAATTTTCATTTTTGGGTGAACTATCCCTTTAACTAATTTCAGGGTTTCCACACATTTTGACCAATGAATTTCCATGATTTTCCCAAGACATTTTAAGATTTTATTCATTTTAAGTCTATTAATTTTATTAATCTTAAGTGTATTGATTTTTCCCCAGAACTGGAAATCACAATTCCCTGATATTTCACGACTATGGGAACCCTGCAATTTGAAAAGAATAAGGCATAAAAATGGCTACTTACCGGCCCCATTATTGTTGCCTGCCAGTGAAACACTGAAAAACATGATTCATTATATAAAATCAATAGGCAGTATTGAAGCAGAGCAAGACCTGATCCAATGTATGCTGAGAATGGTAGTTAGTGTTGGACGATCTAAGTGGGATCTCTATTAGAGTGAATATCTCTATATTGAAACAGTAATCTGACGAAACAGTAATCTGACAAAACAGTAACTCAATAGTAGCTCATATACTCACAGTCCTCTCCGACCGGACCTGCTGAACACTGGGCTGGTGGATCTCTCTGTAGGTCTGTCAGTTCCTGAGGGAAACCAAATGGCCATGTCATGTAAAACAGCATTTCAGGTGCAGGAAATCTTGATGATTTGATTATGAGTGTACTTCAGAGAAAACTGACAAAAGACACAAAGGATTCTTGGTCTGATCAAAATGTTATCAGCACCAGGATACTTCATTTACTCAAAATGCTTTCTAAAAACAGAATTTGGCTCATGTTCGTGTAATGTGGTTGCCAACGCATACTCCTAATGCTTTGGCTCTGAGGTTTGTTTCCATATTGAGATAGAGATTGTTTCCGGAGCACTGCCAGCACAACCAACACTGTGGCAGTCATCTCATAGTACCTTACAAACAGATCTGAGAATGAAATATGGCTTTATAAACAAAGGGTGTGACTGAAATCAGAAATAGCATGTCCTTTTTTAAAAAGATAATCGCTTACATTTTTCAAAATGTGATAGAGGTAAAAGTGTATCCGTATGAATCTCACTAACACCAAAAGAAAAAATATATATATTATGCATAAAGACAAAAATATTGTGCTACTAGTAATTTAAATCAGCAATTCAAGGTAGTTCAACTAACAAGTTGTATATTATTATGTTTTTGAAATAAGTCTCAATGCTCACCAAGTCTACATTTATTAATCAAAACCAGCAAAAACTGTATTTTTTCATATATTTTTATGTAATGTATTCCTGTGATGCAAAACCGAATATTCAGCATCATTACTCCAGTCTTCAGTGTCACGATCCGTCAGAAATCATTCTAATATGCTGATTTGATGCTTAAGAAGTATATTGACCTATTTTTTTCTTCTTATTAATATGTAATAATAATAAATGTACATTTAATATTTTGGTGCAAACTGTTACTATTTTAAAAAGAATTCTTTGGTGAACAGAATGCTCAAAAGTATTTATTTAAAATACAAATCATTATAAACTATTATAAATTATAACATAAATGTCTTCACTGTCATTTTTGATCAATTTATTGCATCCTTGCTGAATGAACTGATGCATTGAACTTATTAATTTATTCAAACATAACAAAGGTTGGTCTGCACTCATTAAATCTTTATATTACAATTGAAACAGGAGATAAAATAGACAAACGTCTCTATCTGCCTTAGTGTGACAATTCTTTGTTTCTCAATGATTATATAACAGACGACATACAACAGGTGATTATAATTAATCAATCAATCCACAGACTCCACTTAAACATCAAGAATTTAAAATTAAATAATGGGAACAATAATACATCAGGTAAAAAAAAAAAGCATTAATTTATTAAATCAAAAGACTTACTTAACTCAAACTTTTGAACGGTATCGGATATGCATTATATTTAAAACTGTATTCATTTATTTCCTTTTAATTTGGGGGTAAAATAGGAGCTAAATATGTTCTTGATCTTGATATGTTTCATGAGATTCATCCATATGTATTTTTATTAATGCTCAGTGCTGGCATTTGACCCAGTTTCTATCTTAAAGCGTTCTTTCAACAACAATATAACTGTTGCTACAATGTTAATCTGAATTAAGGAAACTTAATCTCCACTTCTTCTTTTTTACACAAACGCTGGACAATATTTACAGTGTACTGTTTGTCTGTCTCGGACCAACTTCTCTACTGAGGTTTGCTTGTTTCGTGCACTGTTTGTATTCTGACAGTGTGGCTCAGTATTTGGCATCAGGTGTATTTCTGTAACTGTTCTGAATCATTCATCTGAAATATCTCATATCTCATCCTCATGGCCATGTCACCCCTCTAATTCACCTCTTGAGCGGCTGTTTGTATTGCTAGAAGTTGCTGTCTGACTCAGCGCCTGAAACGCCTCTCTAAAGATAGACACAGAGCGGTCAGCTGTTCATCGACAGCACTTTCAATAACTTCAACTCTCAGCACACTTAAAAAAAAACATAAATGGCTTTAATGGAGCAGTACATATGTAACACTGTACACAACAACAGAGCGACATTACATGTCATTAAATGACATCAGTGCAATAAGGAACCAACCCTCAAACTATGTACTGCATGTAAAAGTAAAAAAATATATATTGTCTCAAAAATATAATTATCCTTTTCTTCAGGGGTGGAGTTCTATGCATCAATCAACATGTAGCCTGTATTCCCACCTGCTATTACATAATACTTACATGCTTAAATACACATAAACCGGTTTGAATTTCTGATTTCGTAAACATGATCAATGCACAATACTGATCCTTATAAAATGACCTCTGGCAGGATCATCACAACAACACACTGGGTTACATCTGTGCTGTTTTTAAAGGGGGCGGAGCTTTTACAGTCTATTGTTGACACTCTTTCTTGACCCCTTTGTTGATGTATCAAGGCATTCGGGACAAGTTAAATATCTGATTTCTATCATTAGTCATGGGTCTGCATGCGTTTTAATACAATATCTAAAAATGTGCATCCAATATTTTATGAATGGATCTTATGCATTGTTTCACGGGGCTTCTCAAACCTTAAAGGGATAGTTCACTCAGAAATGAAAATTCTGTTCTTCATTCACCCTCAATGAACTCCAGGTATAAGTTCATTTGTCTGTCCATGTCAGATGTGAAAAAAATTATTTACAGCCAATCAGAAGAGCGTGTGGGCGGGGCTCTCTCTGCAAGCGCATTGCTAAACAGATAAGTATATATATAGATAAGTAATTTGATCAAAATGAGTGATTTTAACATTATCCAAAATACATAGGCCTACTCAGTGACTGATACAAGCATTGCTATGAAATATACGTTTGTTCACAGTTTGAACATTCTTGTTATTTTCAAGATCTCAGATAAATTATCGATTGTCATGTTTATTAAGGCTATTTAGTCGCACAAAATGATACTCAAATTAAGTAATTTTAATATTGTACTAAACGCAAGTACTTGAGATCATCATTAAGCTGTATATTCAGGTTCTTCTGAAGTTATACGACAGTTTTTGTGTTAGAAATAGACCCAAATTTAAGTCATTACTTTGTCTGCTGAACACAAAAGATGTTTAGAAGAATAGGGGTTAACCAAAAAGTTGATGGACCCCCCTGACTTCCGTAAAAAACAAAACAAAAAACTATGGAAATCAATGGGGACCATAGTTACACAGTCTTCAAAATATCTTCACACAGGATTGGAACGACATGAGGGTGAACAAATGATAACAATTTTCATTTTTGGGTGGACTATCCCTTTAAATTTCGGGCTTTTCCTTACACAAAGCTATGGACTTCAGAAGACTCTGGGATATAGCACACAATTCAATAGGGATTTTTATAGAGACAATCTTTTTTGGAGACGACCATTAAAAATGTCAAGAGATTTTTCCAATTTATCCTCATTTAGAAGAACAACAACATGAGGGTGAGCCAATAATGACAGAATCTGCCTCCTTTAGAATAAAACACTCAGGAAATCAATGAAAGCAACACACAGACTCTGTGACTCGAAGGTAATTTTTTCTCTCTTTCTGTGATTAAAGTCGTTGGTTATTCGGGCAGGGTGGCGAATCTGTTAAAAATACCCTCCGTTGTCCTAGTGCCCTATTTGCCAAGCCATATATGGACACACTGACATTAGGGTTCAGCATTTGGCAACTCGAAAGCAGTTGTCGCCCATCACGCATGCGCACCAGCGGCGCTTCGCTCATTCATGATGACCGACAACAGAAAAGATACATTTTAACAATGTTTCTAGCCCCAACACACTTACACGCTACAAATCAGTCACAACAGTACCTGTCAAACCCCAAACCATGCGTTACTATGCGCGCAGATCCTTATGCTTCAACATCGCATATCGACAACAGACGCTGTCGATCACATATTGCGCAAAACAAACACTCAAGATTAGGCGTATCTAAGTAACGGTGAGTGTTTGTTTCAGCGTGTGTGTGAATCTGTAATGATCAGTGCGTCTATCGACTGCATGCATCCACCATTGGCCGTCCGTCTTTGTCTTGACCAGATGGGGACCAAATGAGAAAAGTGCGACTGCTTCACATTCACAACAGCATTTGAGATGATGAGGAGGACATCGACAGAGGCTGTGAGGTTATGCGATCCACACGATGCACACAGACTCACCTTTTGGATTCTTTTCAACGCCATTTGCTCGCTGTGTTACAGCACTGTTTGATCTAGTTCAGATACTGTTGGCCTGCACAGTTTGGATGAGGACGCTGCCGTTTTTCCCCTCAGTGTCACACGTTACGTTTGTAATTGCACAAAAGCACAGGTTTGGACATTCACACCGCTGTTTGAACGGCAGTCGCCGATTTGAGAAATTCTTGCCCCCCTCTAACCTCACTGACAGTTTTTAGTGCTGTACTAGACAGCAAGAGTAATCTCGCGATACAACGCCAAGTGTTTTAGATAATATCGCGATACTAGAGCGTGCGAGGGGGTCTTGGGAAATGTAGTAATGTGGGTGTTACCGTTCGTAATTTGCATTAAAGTATGTGAGGAGGGTAAAGTTGTAATCGAAGATGAAAATTAATTGTCTTTATTCAAATGAACATGACTCTTATTAAATGATATATTATCGATTTGTTTTTGTTGTTAGGATAATTGCCTGTAATCAGACTAAATGGAGTAACTCAAAACCTAATTTTGTTCATTTTCAAACAGCCTTTAAAGTTTATTTTGAATCTGTAAAGTTAAAAAAATCAAAAAGCCCTGTGAACTGTGTCTCTGTTAAATTAATTTAACATATGTTTGTGATGCCTTTTAATAATTGTGAGAAAATGTGAAAATTAACTTGCTGAATTTTGTAATTTTGAAAGTTAAAACAACAACAACAACAAAAAAAAAAACACCTATGGAAGCCCGTTTCCGCCACTGAATAAAAAATAAAAAAAGGTAAATGCGAGTTTTTATCTCACAATTCTGGCTTTTTTTCACAATTGCATGATATAGCCTAAACTCGCTATTCTGAGGGGGGGAAAGCCAGAATTGAAAGATAAAAAAAAGTTTTTTTTTTTTAATTCAGTGGCGGAAACAGCCTTCCATAAAAAAACTCAAAAAAATAAATTAAATTAAATAAATAAACAAAGCAAGCCACTGTAGGCAAATAACTGGAAAAGAATAACAAAGTGGAGTAAACTGTAAAACTGCGCTACTAATCAGCGTGCAGCGTGTCTATGATTATGATAATGAATGAAAAATAATATGACAACAAATAGCCTACCAGTTTGCAATATCAAACAGACTATTTTTGTACAGGTAAAATAACTGGAAGCGAATGGCACCGGAAGCAGCGCACATTCTTAAATTAAAAATAAGGAGGAAAACCACATAGACCATCATACTTCCAATTTAGCTACAGAACATATTTATTTACTTCTACTAATATGCCCTTTTATGTGTGAAATAAGTTCTAAATTATATTTATAATACACGCGCGTCTATTTCTGCTCTTTCCCCCCCCCCC